TGGGTTTGCCTCATTCTACTCCATTGGAATCTGAAAATTGTGTGCTATTGCAGGCAATCAGTTCCTCTGAAATACAGGAGGGTGGCCCACAAATATGCAGCCTTTTTGTTGATGAAATAGAGGTTACTGACTCTCCCAGTTCAAAATCAAAGAGGTGCTTACTGTTGCTGCTAGAAACTTAATTAGCAGCAAGGTGCAAAATTGGATTCCTTTATAGAGATAAATTCTAAATAGCCTGCTGTCGTTTGACAGAAATTACAAGCCACCGATTACACTGATTTGTCTCTGTCTTCATTATCAGTGAAGATACAGTGTGTTCTGATATCTTGTCTTCTGCTTTCCATTTTTTTAAACAAAAGTTTGTGTGAATCCTGCCAACAAGTCCAATAAAAACAATATATGTCTTCTTGTTGACTTAATTATCCGATGTAAGTGTTTTCTTGAACTGTCTGCCCTCTATTAGAAGATAGTCTTTTGTTCAAATTCTTCCTAACCTTCACCTTCAGCATCTAGCTTAATCATAAAACTACTTTGGTTAATTTACAAGAACCCAATTAGCACTACACACAAGACAGCTGAGAACTAAAGGGAATGAATTAGTTTTTGCAATATTTGGGTCAGAAACCAATATGGCAACTGAAATCTGTGCAACCCAATAATGGTGGCAGATGAAAAATTATTCAGCTAAGTTATTCAATTCTTCGTATTGGAGACATGACTGCGTGTATCAAATGTAACGCATATCTGCTTTTATAGTTGGCCGAGACACTCAAAAGCTGACAATTTGACCTCTCAGTGGCACTAAGAGAGCAGCTCTATTATCGCTACATATGTGTGCCTAACTTATCATCACGATCATTGACCCCCCCGCACTCTCACACACATCATCTCACACCCTCCTTCCACTGCCACCCCATCCTTCTCGCGCCTCCTGTTCACCGCACCAACGCTACCGCGCGCCAGCCAGATCACCACCCTCCCCCTCCCCCTCCCCTCCCTCCCTCCCTCCCTCCCACCCCATCAGTACCACTTTCATGGCAATTCATCCAATAGTTGTTGAAATTTTAACCTAGGCCAAAGTGATGGACCAATGGCCCCTGACCACAATGGCCGTCCATAGAGCCAGGCGGCCAGGATAGCTTAAAACTAACCTAACCCTATCCCATATGACTGGACAAATGTGTATCTAAGTGACTTCATATGACCATTTACTCCCACTACTATCATTAAAGTTTGGTTTGGTATGGAAAACTCTACTTTGTTAGAAACAACTACTTTGTTAAGGTTAGGTAGCCTCTTCATTGTTGAAAAAAGAATAACTTTGTCAATGTTAGGAAACAATCATTGACTAGAATAATTAATACGACCATTTCACCCATCCACCACTGCTATGAATCTCATTAAGGTTTGGTTTGGATTGTGATTTCAGTCCAAAACAACTGATCTGTTAAGATTAAGGGACCATTGTCATAAAAAATTACACATAAGCATTTTCTAACTTCCCTAATAACAGTGCATTGTCAGTGCCTTCAAAAACCATTAAGCTAATTTAAAAAAAAAACATTATTGTAGTTGCAAAAAACTTTTTTGCCATCTTAGTTAAAATATATCAGCGTTAATTGTCATTTAACTGACCTGTCCACCCATCTTGAACTCCTCCCTACATGGTTTTTCGGCTAAATAAAACGTTTGCTAATTTGCTAATATGATGCTTCATCAGAGCTTCATCTGTGCAGACTAGTGTGGTTCCAACTTTACACACACATATATAGAGCAGCATATTTATCCTTGCTTTTTTACAATCAACTTTAACACAATCCTACCCACAGGTCATTTGAAATAAAACACTTGTTAATGCTACTTGCTCAAGCCAATGCACAAATAATTGAATGGGCTTTGCAGTAAGAAGCCAACTGATGAGAGGAAAGAGAGAGGGTCTCTCTCTCTC